GTGTTCTTCAGTAGCTTGTCTGAATCATCTAGGACGACCCAAAATAAATCAGTGGAGGTGTCTTGGCATGAGCTGTGTGTTGCCCAGCTGGTCTCTTTCCCCTCCCTGAGCTGCTGCCCCTCGTCCAGTCCTGGTTTCTGGCAGACAAATATAGACCGCAGCTGGGGGAGGGGAGAGGTTGTCCGGAGGCTATTTTGGTCCTGCCGTGGCCTGGAGGGATGGCAGACTCAGCTGTGGCAAGCCTCGGTCTGCTTTTGCTAAGGGGGCTTGGACAGGAGGGCAGCCCTCCCGCAAAAGCTCTCCCCTGGACTGAGCTGTCCTTCCCAGAATCCAGGAGGGTTCCTGCCCTTGAACAGCAGGAGGTCTCCCCTATCCCCCCCCCAAGCTCTTTCTCCAGCAAATGGAAGAGATGCCTCAGTTGGTCAGGGTCCCTGTCTGGCAAGGTGACATATGAGGATCTGTTCCTCTTCCAACATTTAGGCCAGGTGGGGGCTGTTAGGGGTGTTGGGCAGAATGTGGAGATTGATGGGGTCACACATCTATGCTTGTTCAGTCACTGGGGGCAGAGCAAAAGCTGCCTGCTCTCTGGGGGCAGCTGGGCCACATGGGGCTGGCGTATTCCCCTGGGTAACCCCAGAATGGCTTTCCAGGGGAATACATCAAAACCTGGAGGCCCCGCTACTTCCTCCTCAAAAGCGATGGCTCTTTCATTGGCTACAAAGAGAAGCCCGAAGCTGCGGATCACAGCTCACCCCCTTTGAACAACTTCTCTGTTGCAGGTGCGTTGCCCAGGTTAGCTTGGAAAATGTGGGCCGTGGGTGGGGTGCTCTCCTGACCTCCAGGGAGGCTGGCAGAGGATCCTCCCCCACCTTGCCAAGCGACTTGGTACCCTGGCGTTGCCCCTCCCTTCCTCTTTGCCTCTGCATTGGGGGCAGCCACCCTGGCTGAGCCTGTGTAGATCTTAGCTGGTGAAACTGGGTCAGACTGGAGCTTGTTTGGAGGGAAGGAACCGAGAGGGCCGCCGGGAAGGCTCCCTGGGGAGACTCCAGCCCTTTCCTCCTCCTCTCTCCTCTCTCACCAGAATGCCAGCTGATGAAAGCCGAGCGACCTCGCCCCAACACCTTCATCATCCGCTGCTTGCAGTGGACGACGGTCATTGAGCGGACGTTCCACGTGGACTCGCCAGAGGAAAGGTGAGTGGCAGCCCTGAGGCCTCGCTTCGACCTCCCTGAGCAGCTGTGCTTCCAGATGCTGGCTGCGAGTGGAGGGTGGTCTATTTGGGGTCGTTTCCCGTCCTGCTACGTGGTTCCACATCAACCTCTTGTGCCCTGGTCAGCTTTGGGGGCCAGAAATGCCTGGCTTTCCTGACCGTGGCGGTTCCCTGCCCAGCAGCGGAGGGTCCTTCCTTGGGCTGGCACCCGGGTTTGTCTCGGCTGCCTTGTAACGGAGTCAGTCTGCCCTGGCAGACTTCTTAAGGCTCCCTGCTCTTTGCACCCTGTTTGCGTCTTCCCAGGGAAGAGTGGATCCAGGCGATTCAGATGGTGGCCAACAGCTTAAAGAACCAGGAGGCGGAAGAGGAGGACAGAATGGACTACAAGTGTGGCTCCCCCAGTGACAGTCCAGGGGCCGAGGAAATGGAGGTGGCTGTGACCAAGGCCAGAACCAAGGCGGTAAGCGAGGCAGGTCTGCGGGAAGGAGGCAGCCGCTGGTCTTGGCTAGTTGAAGGTGCTGTCAAATTATGGCTGTGGGACTTAATGATTTTATCTGAACGGCTGGCTCAGCTCTTCTTTCTCTCTCTGCCTTCTATTGCCAGACCATGAGTGACTTTGACTACCTGAAACTCCTGGGAAAGGGCACTTTTGGGAAGGTCATCCTCGTACGGGAAAAGGCCACGGGGCGCTACTATGCCATGAAGATTCTGCGCAAAAAGGTCATCATTGCCAAGGTGGGTGGAAGCTCCAGCCCCTCAGGTGGGGCATGGAGAGTGGGGAGGCTTGGCCAGGCCAGCATCAGGCGGCCTTGGGGGACCAGCCAGAGGGCTGCTGCCTAAGAGCAGACGAGGGGGGACCGTCCAGAGGAAGAAGCTTAGGACTGCTCAAAACAGCAGCAGGATTCTCACAGAGCAGAATTAGTCTGTCTCTCCTGGAGAGGATGGACCTGGAGCCCTTCCTCAGAGAGCCTCAGGGTGGGAAAGCCACTTGGAACCCTTCCTTTTCTTCAAAGCTTCAAGGGGGTTTCTGCTCCTGGAGAGGAAAGAAGCTTTGTAAATATTTATCACTGCTTCTCAGACAGTTTGATTCTGGGATCCCCCCTTCCTCTGTCGCCCAAGAGAAGAATGGATCCCAAGGATGGATACACACACACACTCTCTCTCCCTCTCCCCCTCCCTCCCTCCCCCCCCCCTCTCTCTCTCTATCACACACACACACACACACACACACACGTGTTAGCCATTTGGCCTGTCTTTATGCCCACCAGCTGTTCCTCTTCACTCCCTGGGTTGTCCCTGTTGCTGTTTGCTAGAGCCTGGCGAGGTAGGCTGGGGGTGGGGGTGGTGAAGGGCAGGTGCTTGCCAGGTGCTCCAGGTGAGGATGTTCTTCTCTCTTCCAAGGATGAAGTGGCCCACACAGTCACCGAGAGCCGAGTGCTGCAGAACACGAGGCACCCCTTTCTCACGGTACATGCCGGGGGGGGGGGCTGGCCAAGATCCAGGGGGGCTCTGGAATACTTCCCTGCTAGCTGGAAGTATGCTTTGCTTCTGGGCTGAGCAGAGGGGGGCGCCCAGAGCCAGCAAAAGCTTAAAGGTCCTGCCACAAGGGCCCAGATTGAGGCCTGCTCAGTTTCACACTGAGACTTCAGGGGAGTGAGCCTCTCTGAAATATAGTCGTCGCCCTCCTCCTCCTCCTCCTCCTCCTCCTCCTCCTCCTCTCTCTGTCTGTGTCTCTCTCTCTCTCTCTCTCATCCCTCCCCCTTCCTGTAAGACAGGATCAGAATACACAAGGCAGAACAAGAATATTGTATGCACAGGCTTGGTGTTGATTCTTCTCAGAGTGCAAGGCCATGGTGGGCAGGGGGCAGCTTCTCTGGAGGCGCTCTTTCTGAGGGGAATCTCTGCTCCTTCCCTTTCTAGGCCCTGAAATACGCATTCCAGACCAACGACCGCCTCTGCTTTGTGATGGAATATGCCAACGGAGGGGAGGTGGGTGTTTGCCAGGAGTCCTTTCCTTGGAGTTGTTGCAACTCGTTCACTGGAAGCAGGAGTGGACTTTGGGTCTGGCCTCCCTGCCCGGCTGCTTCCCCCTGACTCTGCCTTCCCTTCCAGCTGTTTTTCCACCTCTCGAGAGAACGCGTCTTCACGGAGGAGCGTGCCCGCTTCTATGGGGCTGAGATCGTTTCTGCTCTGGAGTATCTCCACTCTCGGGACGTCGTCTACCGTGACATCAAGGTGAAGACGCACTTGCAGGCGCTTGGCTCCCTTCCTGGAGGGTCTAAACGGGTGGCCCCTGGGTCAGCTCTGCAGGGGGCAACTCCTCTCTGCTGGGGCCCAAGCGCCTTTCTGCCTTTTAGCTGGAGAACCTCATGCTGGATAAAGATGGGCACATCAAGATCACGGACTTTGGGCTGTGCAAGGAAGGCGTCTCCGATGGTGCCACCATGAAGACCTTCTGTGGGACACCAGAGTACCTGGCCCCAGAGGTATGGGAGGAAGGGTGGGTCCAGTCTCGCCCAGCCGCCGGGGGCCCAGGGCCACCTCTGGGGGGCCAAGGCCAGCAGGTGGGATGGCTTTCAGGCCCTGCTGCCAGAGGCTGCGTGTCTCACCGCTTGTCCTGCCCTCTGCCCTGCAGGTGCTGGAGGACAACGATTACGGGCGGGCCGTGGACTGGTGGGGCCTGGGGGTGGTCATGTACGAGATGATGTGTGGCCGGCTACCCTTCTACAGCCAGGACCACGAGCGCCTCTTTGAGCTCATCCTCATGGAGGACATCCGCTTCCCGCGCACCCTCAGCCCTGACGCCAAGGCCCTGCTGGCCGGCCTGCTCAAGAAGGACCCCAAGCAGAGGTGAGGGCAGGCAGGGCCCTCTGGAAGGAGCTCCCGGCCGCACCTGGAGAAGCAGCCTGGCCTGGTGCCTTCGTGTGCCCGGGGGCACGGTCACTTCTGTCCAGGAAGCAGAAGGGCTGAGTTGCCGGAGTCAGCAGTCCTTGGTCTGGGTTGCTGGACCTGCCGGAGAGCAGGGGTGGCTAAGAACTGGATTTGGGGCTCTGTTGGTCAGGTTCAAAGGCCAAGCCACGGTTTGCACAAATATAGCATTTGGTATAAATTACAATTGATTTCTTTATTTTAGAGTTTGAAATAAATGCGTAGTGCATAGTTTGTACAGATGCATATATAACGTGAGCTCCCTTCTCTGGGCAGAATATGCAGTGAGGGGGTGTTCCATTGCAGCCATGTGGGGGGAAGAAGAGCTGAGGAATTCCCCCTTCTTGTCCTCCCAAAAGGGCCTGGTTGTCCCTCAAACAGGCACCTCAGCATTTGCCCTCCAGCTGAATCTGTGGGCACACTCACGTGGCCATGACTATCCACGCACACACAAAGCTGTTAACCAAGCCTTTTCTTGCCAGGCTGGGGGGCGGCCCCAATGATGCCAAGGAGGTAATGGAGCATCGGTTCTTTGCTGCCGTTAACTGGCAAGATGTGGTTCAGAAAAAGGTAGGCGCTGTGCTGCTGCTGCTGCCGCCCTTCTCCCCTTGGTGCTCTCCTGGATGGGGAGGCGGGGTGGGGGAGTGGCAGTACGATCCCACCCTGGTGTGAACTAAGCAGGCTCTCTCCCGCCAGCTCATCCCCCCTTTCAAGCCCCAGGTGACATCCGAAATAGACACGCGGTACTTTGATGACGAGTTCACAGCCCAGTCCATCACCATTACGCCACCAGACCGATGTGAGTAGGGGGCTTTGCGTTGGGAGGCAAGCCAGGGTGGTGGGGTTCTTTGGTTCTGGCTTCACTGGGAAGCTACCGGCCCGGCTGTTCTTTTTCCACAGACGACTGCGTCGACCCCCTGGATGCCGACCAGCGGACCCACTTCCCTCAGTTCTCCTACTCTGCCAGCATTCGGGAGTAGGGCTGCAGCGCCTGCCTGAGAGAGCGTGGGGCCGGCCAGACCCAGGACTCGGGGTGGTTCCCACTTCTGGGGGGCAAAAGGAGGACCCTGGACCTGCCACATCAGCCCTTCCAGTCAGGACCAGCTGGCTCACTTGTGGCCTTGTGGCCCTAACACCACCACCCCCATCCTCTCTCCCTGCCTCTGGGCCACAGCTGAGTTTTACGTGGAAATTGCTTTGGCGTGTTTGGGTGGTTTCTGAGGGATGCGCTCTGCCACAGGATTGTGTCGGCGGAAGGCAGGGACACCGTTGGTTGCCTCCTATAAGGGGTGCCACCCTGGACCCCGGAATGTGTATGGCCCTAGCATTATAGCTTGCAAGGCTGTGCTAAGACGGGGAGAGCCCCCAAATCCCACCACCCCATTTTTGTGGGATAGTGGCCGGCTGGCCGGCCACCACTCAGGTGCCTCTTGAGGTCAATGGCCTGACCTTCGGTGGAGCAGAGCAAAGGGATTCCCTATCACCTCTGTGGGTGCTGCTGTTAACAAGAACTTTGAGGTGCCCTCCAAATGGGTGGAAGCTGGCCCCCATTTAAAACAGCCGGGGGGGGAGGGCAAGGTAGCAGCATCCTCTTGCCCCCAGACAGAGTGCAGCTGCTGCTTCCAAGGCCCAGGAATGGGCCTTGCTGGAGGGATTGGGCCCAGCTGCTCCTGCCCATTTGTTCCTCTGAAGGGGACTGCCCTTGTGGGGCTGGGGGGGGCTGAGCTCCCTGGCACCGACCTTGTGGCACTGGCAGCGCTTCCCTCCCTTTTTTCAGTTGTGGAAGATGGCTGCTTGCCTCTCTGCCCATCTCTGAGCCTGAGAGGAAGGCGGCCCCCTCCCTCCCTGCCTGCCTGCCTGCCATGGCTGCAGGGCCCTGCCTTGGGAGGAAGGGAGGTTTGGTATCCAGGCACCTATCACCCTACACCACCAGCCCTGTGTGGCTTGGCCAGGGAAGGAGCAGGCCAGGCAGGCTGGAGCCTCTTGGCCTCTGCCAGGGCACCCCAGGATCTGTGGTCCGGCACAGACGCCACTCTGCTGAGTTGCTGCAGGGGGCCCGGAAGCCACCCAGGCAGACCCCCGTCTTGCTAAAGGGGAGGTTGTGGTCCTGGCAAGCACGGCCGGAAGGTGGACTGTCCCTCCTGCAGCTGGCTAACAGTCCGCACGCACACACCGTGCAAAGAGTGGGAGGCCTTCAAGAAAAGGGGCTGCCCCAGCCCCTGTTACTAACCCCCAGCCTCTGCCTGTTGCTGGCAGGCCAGAGCAGCCCCTCCTGCCTACCTGTGTTGCCTCTCAGGCAGGTACTGGAGGACGCCACCTGATGGGGTGGAGGACAGCAAATGCCCCAAGTGCACCTTTGCCCTACCTGACCCTCCTGGTGACCTCAGCATACCTGAGACTCTCGTGCCTCCCGGGGTTTGGGGATCTGCCAGGGACTTCTGCCAATCCCACGATTGCTGTGGGCTCCACGGGGAGCCTTCTTTCTACAAAATGGGGGGGCAGGGGGGGCATAGACCTGGCTGCAAATATCCATGGCGGCCCTGGCTGCCTTCCCATGTCTTGACTCTTGCGGGCTGCCAGTGACAATTGCACGATTCCACTGTGCTGATCCCCCAAGCAGGCCCTTCCCTGACCCGATGTTCCCAGAGGCTCCGCGGCAAGTCGGAAAGAGGGCTGGGGCTCCCCTGTCCTTGAAGGAGCTCCAGGACTCCCAGTCAGCCGGCTGCCCTGGTGCTGCCTGCTTGCCTTTGCCCTGCAGCCTGTGCAGGGTGCCTCCCGTCGGGCACTCCTGCCCAGTCCCTCCTGAGAGCAGGGTGGGCGAGCCCCAGCTGCTCCAGACCCACCACATGGCCTTTTCAGCACACCCGAAGTGCCAGCAGCCCCCGAGCCTCTTTGGGCCTTTTGGGTCTGCCCAGAACTATTCAGCTGAGGAGGCACCTCGAATTGCGATTCGGCTTCCTCGGGAGGAACTCTTGTGCCCTGGACTTGCAGGGCCTGGTGGGACCTCGCCCCATGTGACGCGTGGGGTGGGGTGGGGTGGGGGCTGGGGAAGAATAGTTTTTCACGTTTGTTGTAGTCCTAATTCAGATTTACTAATTTAATGTTGCCCCTGTTAGATTAGAGTGAAGCGCCCGCTCTGTTGCGGCCCGTTTCCTCCCTTGTTCTCCCCACTGCTGGAAGTCAACAGCACATCTGGCCCTTCACAGACAGGGCTGGCTCCAGATCCTGAGCTCCGTTCATAAAATAAAGTTTGCTGGAGAGTTTTTGTATAAATGTGGCTGATAAGCACAAAAACTGGAAAGGCTTTTTTTTTTTTTTTTTGGTAAACCACAAATTGCCTTCCTTTACCCTCAGATTTGTACGGTACAAGCAATAAAAGATTTTATTTCTTGGTTATGTGGTGGTCTTTTTTAATGTTTATTAAAATACTGTACAATTTTAAAGCAACATCCAAGTTAATTGTAGCTGACGTCTGTCTAAAATTCAATCCCAGCTAGCCATGGTCTTTTGAGGGAGGCTGCTTGCCTCCTTTTCACAAGGATGAGCGTCTTATCCATGGAATTTTAGCAAAGCCCCCCTGCCCCCCTCTTCCTTGCCTTCTCTAAATCTTTGGAATTTAAGCCCCCTCCCTCAAATGGTGGACCATTTCCTTCAGTGCTGCTCAAGGGAGCGCCAAAGCAAGCAAGCCACCCCTAGAGCTGCCCCAGGCCCACTACCGTCCCTCCAATCTGTGAACAGCAGGCAGCACACACACACACACACACCTGTCCCACCTTCAGGAACAGGCGGCATGCCAGGGATTGGTCTCTAGGCAATTTGTTCTCGGCGTCGCTTTCCACTTCCATTCTGCCACCAGTTGTGAAAAGCTACCTAAAGTTAACTTCCTGCAATATTCTAGACTACCTTAGAGCATCCAAACGTCCCTCCCGCTCTGCTCCCTGGTGGCTCCTTCCACTAACGAGCCCTGATTTAGTCAAGCAGGGGAGTGGATGGGAGTCCCGGCGCTCAGCTCCCTCCCCAGCTGGTGGGTGTTTGGGCGAAGGCCATGGCAGGCCCCGAGCGGAGGCCCCGGACGCTGCAGCTGCAAAGAGCCGCTCTCTCGGCGGGGGCCTTGCTTGTGGGGCAGACCGTAAGCCGAGTAAGTGGCCCGGGCAGTCTGGGCTGTTGGGGGACGGGCGGCAGAGGGAGCTCCTGGGAGAAATGCTCTTCTGGTCCTCTCACAAAGGGAGGAGCCGGTGCCATTGCTTCTCAGCAAAGAGGTGCACTACCCGTCCTGGCCGCGTGGCGGAGCAATTCTTTGGCCTTTACAAACAGGCCTCTTGGCAGCCCCTCTGCCTGAGTTGCAACGCCCCCCCCTGCTCATCCGGGTTGCTCAAACGGGAGGGGGGGGAGGAGGAGCAAAGGGAGCACGGACTTTCTCTTCCCTCCCACCCCCTCCGTGCCGTCTCTGGGCCAGCCAGGAAGGTTTGCTAATAAAGCTGCATCCGCCTAGGAGGAGGGCTGCGTGTTCCCCCCCCTTTCAGTAGTGCTGCTCGGTTTCAGGTGGATGAGAAAAGGGAGCCTTTGAAAAGCAAGAGCAACGAAGGGCAGAGCACCGAAAAGGCATCTGGGAAGGTGGGTCGCTCCTGCAGTGGGGAGCTGTGGGGAGGGAGGGAGATGAAATAGGAGCCACCAGAAACTGCCTGTGGGAGGAGGTGGAGCGTTGGATTGGCATCCATTAGATTGGATGGCAAGGGGGGAGCTCAGGGGTCAGGGTGGGCTCCCCCATTGGGGCGAAGGGCCAGACGTCTGCCCTTGAATAGCCCTGGACCTGGCAGGGGGCAACTGCGAGCCCTCCAGGCTCTGGGATGGAGGGCAGCAGGTAATGTGCGGGGGGGGCGGGGGGGCTGCTTGGGCTTTGCTTTGGCAGGTAGCTCTCCCCACCCTGACCTTGCAGGGAGGGGCACCACGGCTTTCCCCACTGCTGGCAGTGCCCTGGCTGCCTGATTCCTCTCCTCTTCCAGAAAAAAGGCCTGCAAAGCTATGAAGAGCAGGCAGAGAAGCGGGGGGTGCTGTGCCCCCAAGCCCTGCCTGACGCTCCTTTGCCGAGAGAGCGAGGTGAGGGCTTTGGAGGGCAGCAGTGGGAGTCCATCTTTTGGGGGGGGGAATAACCCTAGACATGCACCCTGCTCTGTGACAGGCCGGCATCCCTTGTGGCGAGGGAGCCCTTCCGACCTCCCTGTCTCCCCCCTCTCCCCCAGTGGTCCCAGCCTCGCTGGCCCAGGAGCTGCCCCAAGCCATGCTGCGGATGGACATGGCCCTGGAACGGGAGTACGCCCTCGACATCTTCAGCAACCTGATGGTGAGCAGACGCAGCGGAGCCCCCCCCACCCCCGGCCGGCCTTTGTACACCCAGAATGCTCCATACCCGAGAAGCAGACAAAAGCCAGGAGAGGCAGCTTGCTGCATTCCCTGCAGGAACCCAGTGAAGGCATCCCAGATGGGGCTGTATCCTCCGGGATGGAAGAAGACACTGCCAGCAGTCTTGGTAACTGCAAGACAGAGGCGGGAACCCCTTGGCTTGGCCCAGGCTTCAGGGTCCCTCTGATGGCGCCTCTGCCTGGCCAAGGGGGCCTGAACCTCCATCATTTGGGGGTTGCTGGCTACCTATGGCCTCTTGCCGTGTGGGCCTTGTATACCACCTGGCCGGGGAGCACAGGGCTGCCAAGGGGCATCTGCCCTGCCCTGGAGCAGAGCAGAAGACATCACTGCCTCCCCCTCAGCTCCATTCCAGGGAACGCCTCCCCAGTCCTGCCAGTGCCAAGGGCCAGGGCCTGCCCAACCCTTGACTCCAACCTTTTCACAGCGGAAGCAGCCGTCCTATGCCTTCCACGGCTTTCACCTGCCACGGTCGGTGACGGTGGAGATGAGAGCCCTTCTGGTGGACTGGCTGGTGCAAGTACATGTAAGTGCTGGGCTTGGAATGGCCTGATTTGTTGGGTCTAGACATTGGGGGGGGTGTTCCCCCTTACCTCTGCTCTTCTGCGATGGATTCTATTCCTTTCCTCCTCTCACCCCCCAGGAGTATCTGAATCTGGCTGATGAGACCCTCCATCTGGCCATCCATCTCATGAACTCCTATATGAGAGCAAGCCATGTCAGGATCCCTCACCTGCAGCTCCTCAGTGCCACCTGCCTCTTTCTGGCATGCAAACTGGAGGAACACACCTGTCCAGAGGTGAGAGTGTGAAAGCTGGGTTCGGGAGTGTCCACTGGCCTTCCAGAGACCGGGGCAACTGGAGTGACTCGCTCTGCTTTAGTTCAGCAGCCCTTCTTGGTCCTTGGCCTTGGTCCGAGGCCAGAAGAGGAGGGCATCTGGGCCTCTCCGGAAGGCCCCGTCATGCTCTGGCATAAGGCCCCGTCATGCTCTCGCCTCTCCTGCAGCCAGCCCAGCTGTGCTTCATGATGGAAAACTCCTGCAGCCGAAAGGATCTCCTGCGAATGGAACGCAAAATCCTGGCCCGGCTCGGGTTTGAGCTGCACTACGCCAACCCCGTCCACCTGTTCCGCCTCCTGGCAGAAGCAGCCCATTGCACCTTGGAGGTGAAGGTCCCAAAGTGGGCCGGCCGGGGCCCAGAACCGCCTGCAGGGTCACCGGTTGCTGTTCCCAAGCGATCCCCAGGTCGAGTGTGCCCTGGCCTTGTGGGAGGGCAGGAGAGAGAGAGAGAGAATAATCTTGCAGACCTGGACATTCCCCCCCCCCAGTGATTTAGTCTTGGAATGGGGGGGGAAGAGGCTGCAAGCATTCTTTCCCCTCTCCTTCCCCATGCTTGTTCAGGTCCAGTTCTTGGCCCTCTATTTCCTGGAAACTTCTCTGCTGGAGGTGGACTGCCTGTGCTTTGAGCCCGCTCAGTTGTCCTTTGCGGCTTTGTCTCTGGCACACCGGCTGACGTGTGAAGCCAGAATCAAAGAAATGGATGCATTTCAGGAACATGTTCCAAAGTTCCATGTGTACAGGTATGAGCAAGCACGGTGTGTGCCCCAAGGAATAGATGGGATGACAATGAAACATAGCGGAAGTGCAAATAATTTGGGGTCTCTCCCTTATTTCCCAGCTTCTTAAAGCACGGCCTCTTGGATGTGTGGCTGCTTGTTCCTTCATGTGCCAGAGGGCATGGGAACCGCAGGTGTGGCTGCTGCCCCAATTCTTGCATGGCACCAGATGGCTCATGCCCCATGGGGTGCCCGGTTACCATCTGTGCAGCTGTGGGGCATTCAGGACACTCTGGAGGTCAGCTGCAGCCCAGCGAGACAGGGCCGTGGTTGTCCCCACAACCGCAGGGACTGGGGCATTTGAACAGTAACAGACCAAGGATGGGTTCCGTCAGCAAGTGCTCCTCTCTCCTCACAGTGAGGCTGAGCTGTCGGCTGTCTTTCCGTACATGGCCAAGGCGGTTTTGCAGGGGGGCAACGCCTCCCTTCGTGCCATCTTCCTGAAATACTCCAGGCCACAGAAGCTTTGTGTCAGCACCAACCCTGCCATTGCTGCCTCTAAGTTCCTGAGCCACTTCCTGAGGGATCCCACCCAATGAAGGAGGAGGAGGAGGATGCTGGGGTGATGTGTGAACTGTCCCTTCCCACTGCATGTGGGAACAGGGAGTGCAGGGAAGCCAAGCATTGTCCCAGGCTTGACTCGGCTCAGAAGATTGTGGGGCCCCTTCTCTCCTCTTCTTCCTTCACACAGGATGTTTTCTCACTTCATCCTTGTCTGTCTTTCTGTCCCACCCTCTCTCTGAGGTCTTGAGTCTTGTGCAACCCCCCCTTGACTAAAAACAAAAAAGAGATTGTAAGCAAAGGGGCTTCATATGTCTAATAAAGTGTTTTATTCTCTTAAAAACATTCTTACTTCTGAGGTCAGAGAAATGGGGTGCCTCCCCCTCCCATGGAACTGGCAGGACCCAGGAAACAGAGTTACAGTGTGGGGGGCCAGGTTTCATGGGTCTGCTTGAAGGCAGGGCAGCTGGGGAGGGGAGCTGCTGCTGCTGCTGCTGCTGTGGCTACCGGCTGACCATGCTGGAGGGCATCCTAGGCTTTGAATTCTCCCCCTCCAAAGACCTTCCAAGCAGCTTACAAGCCATTTCAACGTTAATTCATAGGTAGCCATAAGCCCTCTGTTACTACCTGTGCGGTTGCTAATACACCCCTGTTGACTGGCTCCTCACAATGCCTCTCAACAAAAGGCAAGCTAACTTCAGCCTAGCCGGCTGTCTGACCCCGCAGCTCCCTCCCTGCACCGCTTTCCAAACTCTGGGAAACCCGGTCTGCGAGTCCAGCTTGGGAATCGCTGGAGACGTTTTGCAGCATCGCTTCGAGCAGTCCTCCGAGGCGAGCGAGAGGCGCTAGCCAGCCCGCCCGCCCGCTGGGGTGCTGCCTGGAGCCGCCTCTCCTGGTTTGGTCCTGAGCCAGGCGAGGTCAGGCTGGTGGTGCTGAGGCGGGAGGAGTTTCCCACAATGCACTAGCGTGCTGTCCGCGGTGCTGAAGCGGCGCTCGTGGCTCTCCCCGCATCCCTCCCTTTACGCTCAGCCGCTTTCCCAGCTCCCCGTCCGGCGGAAGCAGGCGTCGGGCTAAGCATGGGCCTCGGTCAGTGAAGGCGGGGATGGAGGAGCGCAGCCCGTACCAGAAGAGTTGCCCGGAGGCCGGCGGGGCCTTCTTGGTGCTGGAGGAGAGCGGAGGGGGCTGCCGGGCTCGTTGCGCCGCGGCTGCGGAATTGGAGGCCAAGCTACAGCGGGCGGTGGAATTCAAGGCGGAGGGGCACCGCTGCTACAAGCAGAAGAAGCTCCGCGAAGCCATCGGCAAGCACCACCGAGCTCTGCTACAGCTGAAGGGACTGGAGCCGCCGGCCGGCGACGGAAAGGCTGAGGCGGCGGCTGCGAAGGGCAGCTCGCTGGTCGCCTGGCATCGCCTGTCCGCCGAGCAGCGGGAGCAGGCGGACAGCACCGAGATTGAGTGCTACGAAAGCCTGACTGGTAAGAGCCCGCCCCCGCCGCCGAGATGGGAGGGAGGAGGAAGCCGCGTAGTTGTGGCCCCAGTCGGGAGCAGAAGGACTCGGCCTCGCCCGCCCCCAAAACAGCCCTCTCGTTATTTGGCACTCCTTCTCCTTGCAGCAATGAGAAGTTTGTAGGCGTTTGGGAGGGTTGGAAGGTGATCCGCAAATGTCAAAAGTGCTTTTTTCAAAGACAACTGGACTTTGTTTTTTCCTTGAGGAAGAAGGCCTTTCACTTCTCCTCCAAGAAGCTTCTTCAGTTCAGAACTGATGAAGCTTCTTGGAGGAGAAGCGAAACTACTTCTTCCTCAAGGAAAAAATAAAATCCAGTTGCCTTTGAAAAAAGCACATTTGAGACAACTATAACCTGGATGACTGAGATTCTCCATGGACGTGGTCTGCAAATGTTTAGGAGGTCTCAGCTGCAGGTCTCCCCCCTGTCTGGCCCTTGATCATTGGCCTGAATTGCTTGACCAGAAGGACTTCTCACAGGGCAAACTGAGCAGTGGCTCAGATACAGGACCTCTGGAGACCCCACGGAAAAGCAGGGAAGCAGCTGGGGACCCGAGGCACACCTTATCTTGGAAGGCAGGTCCCAGAGACAAGCAAGCCTCTCCCTCCCCCAGTGTTAATTTTTGTCCCAGTGGGCTTTCTACATGGAACTGGGACTGGAAAAGAGCAAAGTGAGCAATGGGGATCTTCTATGTTCTCAAGACTTCTGACATGAGTAAGGAAGGGGCAGCAGCTCTCAGGGAGCCTCCCCCGCCCCTTGGGCCAGCAGCAATGAGAGGGAGGAAGAGAGTGCCGGGGCCCTCCTTACTTTTGCTTCCCATCCACTTCCTTCCTTTCCTTTCCTTTCCTTTCCTTTCCTTTCCTTTTCCATTATTCAAGAAGGAAAAGAAAGAAGAAATACAAACGAGAAGAAAAACAGGCTCAAAGAAAAAGAAGACAAAGTGAATGAACAGGGAATTTGCAACTATCACAGAGTGGAATAGGAGTACATTGGTTAAGTAAGACTTTTCAATATCTCAGTTGGTTTATATGTAACTGAATCCCTTTGATTATTTTAAAAACTGCAGACAATTGTTGATATCCAAGTAGTAAGATCAACACGGATAATCAGTACAATGTAAATAACAACACATGTGGTCCTGTAATTTTTGTCCAAACAGGATCTAAAGGATCTAAGCAAGATCACGCTGTAGATTCTGCTCTGATGGGTCTCCTAGATGCTGTTCCTTTGTCTTCTTCCATTGCAGGCTTTGTGGTTGTTGAGTGGCCAGTGAGGAAGGGCTCCTTGGCCCACAGGTGTCACTGCCTTGCAGGATTTTTCAGGCATCAGCCTTCACCTGGAGCTTCCCAAGATGTTTTACTGGTTTTTCAGTGAAAATAATTTTTGAACCACCAATTTGGAAATGAATTTCTTAAGTTTTGCATGTTTTTTTGCAAAGGGATCTGTCAACCAGGAATGGTGTGCGACCATCAGAGAAAGGCAGTGCTCTAAAATTGTATCTGGAGGAACAGTGACTCTATTCTATTCTAAAAGTAATCTTTATCTAGCAGATTTTGTGCTGTCCCAGCTTGCTCTTCTGGTACATTTGAAGATCATTTGGTGCCGAAGTCCCTGTGAGGTTCCTTGGAAATAATAATTCTCAAATAATGTGTGATGCTTTGAAACAAATGGAGTGTGACAGGTGGAACTCATACTTTAGGAAAACAAGAATAATGTCAATTGAACAGCGTACGTTAATCCCAAACAGGAAAAGGGTCCAAGCCCCTCCACGGGAACACTGGCCGGGAACGCGAGAAGCTCTGCTCGCTGCCTCCTGGGACCGGCCAAGCCACGGCAAAGGTCCCGGTGGTGGTTTTCTGGCAGCGCCTTCATACCTCTGTGCCCAGCAGAGTTTCTAGAGACACCAAGATTTGCTCTTCCTGCCGTCCAAAATATTCTTCCCTTTTTTTCCAGGAGTGCAACTCAAAGGCAGCGACCTTTTTCCACTGAGCTTTTCTGGTGCTTCAACAGTCACATGTCACAAACATCATAATAATGAAAATTTCTCCCTTTGTGCTCAATGTGCTACACTTATTTTGCCTACACCTGTCTTAGTCTTTCTGCCAAGCAGCAGAAGTCGCTTTATTTCATATTCACCATCCTTGTGAATATCCAGTCCAGGGAGGAGATCTCTGTACCTACTTCAGTGTATATGTTATAATATATACTAATTGCACAAAAGCCCCACACGTTCTTCTCTCTGCTTGGTGTAGGGGACTAATATTTAAATAAATAATCAAGCAAACTTAAAACAATGAACCAGACAGATGGCTTGAATAACTAATTTATTCTACAGTTTGCATAAATTGCTTTCCCCCCCCCAAAAAATTCACAAACTCTCTGAGGCTATTCTTTAAACAAGAAAAAAGCAAAACAGAGCCGGTCCATGGGAACGAAGGGAGCAGAAAGTTATGAAGAGGGATGCGAATACACGTAGAGGCTCATCTTGGGCAGCTTCCCCTTGGAGAAGGTCTTCCACTTCAGGTAGAGGGGACCAAAATGGGTGACGCCTTGCATCTTGAAGGGCTGCACGTTGTTCTGGTAGTTGAGTGGGATGACGTGGTGGAAGGTGGGCTGTGGGGGCCGAAGCCGGGTGGAGTGAACAATCATCTCGTAGAGGATCCTCTGGCCCAGGTTGGCCTGTGCCCTCTTCAGTCTCAGGCGGCTGCTGGGGACATACTTGTGCTGGCGATGGCCACCCACCAAGAGCTGCTGGATCATGGCCCGGACCAGCGGGTTGCTCATGCCGTAGAGGTCGAGCAGCTTGGCCGCCTGCTCCTGCCACAGGGCAGGCTCCACTCCCTTCTCCTTCACGGACGCAATGGAGAGGTACAGCCCCATGAAGGTCTCCCAGTCTACCCCCTTGGCCTCGTCCAGGCGGAAGATGTGCTGCCGGCCCCCCCGCCTGAGCATCTTCCGATGGAGGCGCATGGTGGGCTTGGTCGTTTTGTACAGAGAGTCTTTGGGCAGGCGGTGCCCCCTGGGCCGGGGGACCGCCAGAGCCGGGCTCAGCTCCTCGGTCTGCAGGAAGGCATGCCAGGCCTTCTCCCACTGTTGGCCCATGGACCACGTCAGCTTCCCACGGTCCCTTGCTGCCTTCTCCTTTCTCAGGGATGATTTCCTCCTGTCTGCCACCCTGGCCTCCTCCAGGCCCTCTCCCTCTCCCCCCATCCCCTCCTTCTGCCTCCGCTCTTCTGCCCTGCCCTTCTTCTCCTCTGCCCCCTCTGGGAAGCCCAGCACGATGGGCCGCGATCTGAACTTGAGGCACCTCTCCCTGCGCTGCTGCTCCAGTCTTTCCTGCTGAGCCCTTTCCTGATCGGCCTGAAGCTTCCCAAGGGCCTGCCTGAGCTTCTTCCTCAGCCAAGCCCTCCGGTCCTCCTCCCGGCGCTCCTCCCGGTGCTCCTCCAGGCGTTCCTCCGGGCGTTCCTCCGGGCGTTCCTCCTGGCGCTCCTCCCGATGCTCCTCCGGGCCCTCCTCCTGGGTCCAGGCCTTCTCCGCCTTCTTCTGCCAAGCCTGCAGCCAGACATTGTTGGTCAGTCGCCTCTTCAGGTTCCTGGCCTGCAGCACAGCCAGGACAGACTTAAAAAGCCTCTTCATCCTGGCGCCATATTGCTTGGGGCTGGTGTTCCAGGGCTTGTGGGCCTCCACCGCCTCCTTGAGACACCTGAGCACGGACACCTGTTCTTCTGACAAGGACTCCTGCTTCTGCTCAGCTTCCTTTAACAGGTCCTCGGCTTTCTGGAGCAGAGCGTCAACCATCTCCTGCAGGTGTGCC